CAGTAGTGCCTGGCAGGCTATAGCACAAGGGATGACAAGCAATTACCAGATCAATGTACTACTCAAAGAACATTTAAAGGATAAGTTCACCTTTGGAACACGTCACAGGTTTCACCTGTTTTTTTTAGAGTGGAATGTGTAATATGTTTCTATACCCGCAGAAGTTACCCCCCCCCCCCCCCCCCCCCCCCCCCCCCCCCCCCCCCCCCCCCCCGACAGATAGTACGGGGAGAAGTTTCCCTGTACAATCTGTCAAATTTTAAAACAGCATGTGTGACGGTCGTGGCGTCAGACCCCAGCGCTTCTTACCAACCTCGTGACCGAAGGACTAGCCAATCTAAAAACACGCTGTCACGTGCGTAGGAATGCCACGCCCAGCTGCACCCTGCACAAATGTTTTCCAGCTAATGGACCACAGTCTGTGTACCGGCAGCCTGGAAGCGACTGTTACTGGGTCAGGTTAATTACGCAATTAACCCTTCACACTGCCACCACCTCCTTTTTGTACAGAGAAAGAGGAAACTCGGCAATATTAGCAATACACTATGTTTGAATAATCGTCAGTATACCACTGCCACCGCAGGCAGAGATATATCGAAGTCTAAAACACACACACAGTAGCGCTCTTTAGAGGCAGGAATTCGTAGTTTGCATTAAAGGCGTCAGAAAAAGTTCAACACTTTCAGAAAGTAAGATTTATTACTAAAAGGTCAACAGGGTGCAAATAAAAATATTTACAGAAGAAAATATAGCCAATATATATATATATATACATACACACACACACACACACACACACACACACACACACACACACACACATATATATATATATATATATATATATATATATATATATATATATATACACACACACACACATATATACACACACACACACAGTGGGGCAAAAAAGTATTTCGTCAGCCACCAATTGTGCAAGTTCTCCCACTTAAAAAGATGAGAGAGGCCTGTAATTGGTGTTATAGGTAGACCTCAACTATGAGAGACAAAATGAGAAAACAAATCCAGACAAGCACATTGGCTGATTTGGAAAGAATTTATTTGCAAATTATGGTGGAAAATAAGTATTTGGTCACCTACAAACAAGCAAGATTTCTGGCTCTCACAGACCTGTACCTTCTTCTTTAAGAGGCTCCTCTGTCCTGCACTCATTACCTGTATCAATGGCACCTGTTTGAACTTGTTATCAGTATAAAAGACACCTGTCCACAACCTCAAACAGTCACACTCCAAACTCCACTATGGTGAAGACCAAAGAGCTGTCGAAGGACACCAGAAACAAAATTGTAGACCTGCACCAGGCTGGGAAGACTGAATTTGCAATAGGCAAGCAGCTTGGTGTGAACAAATCAACTGTGGGAGCAATAATTAGAAAATGGAAGACATACAAGACCACTGATAATCTCCCTCGATCTGGGGCTCCACACAAGATCTCACCCCGTGGGGTCAAAATGATCACAAGAACGGTGAGCAAAAATCCCAGAACCACACGGGGGGACCTAGTGAATGACCTGCAGAGAGCTGGGACCAACGTAACAAAGGTTACCATCAGTAACACACTACTCAGATCATGCAGTGCCAGACATGTCCCCCTGCTTAGGCCAGTACATGTCCGGGCCCGTCTGAAGTTTGCTAGAGAGCATTTGGATGATCCAGAAGAGGATTGGGAGAATGTCATATGGTCAGATGAAACCAAAATAGAACTGTTTGGTAGAAACACAACTTGTCGTGTTTGGAGGAGAGAGAATGCTGAGTTGCATCCAAAGAACACCATACCTACTATGAAGCATGGGGGTGGCAACATCATGCTTTGGGGCTGTTTCTCCACAAAGGGACCAGGACGACTGATCCATGTACAGGACAGAATGAATGGGGCCATGTATCGTGAGATTTTGAGTGCAAACCTCCTTCCATGAGCAAGGGCATTGAAGATGAAACGTGGCTGGGTCTTCCAACATGACAATGATCCCAAACATACCGCCCGGCAACGAAGGAGTGGCTTTGTAAAAAGCATTTCAAGGTCCTGGAGTGGCCTTGCCAGTCTCCAGATCTCACCCCATAGAAAACCTTTGGAGGGAGTTGAAAGTCCGTGTGAAAGTCCGTGTTGCCCAGCGACAGCCCCAAAACATCACTGCTCTAGAGGAGATCTGCATGGAGGAATGGGCCAACATACCAGCAACAGTGTGTGCCAACCTTGTGAAGACTTACAGGAAACGTTTGACCTCTGTCATTGCCTACAAAGGATATATAGCAAAGTATTGAGATGAACTTTTGATATTGACCAAATACTTATTTTCCACCACAATTGGTGGCTGACTAAATACGTTTTTTTTGCCCGTGTGTGTGTGTGTGTGTGTGTGTGTGTGTGTATATATATATATATACATACATACACACACACACACACACACACACACATACATATACATACACACACACACACACAGAAGAATAGCACAGCAAAGAGATAACAGAGAGAAGTTAGACGGTTAAAGTACTTGCCACATGTCCTGGGTTAAGCAGCTTCCAAGTTTCAGAGCCAAAAGGATGCTTTGATCTCCCACTGTTAGTTTCCTTGTTAAAACAGGGGATTCCTCAACTCTCACACACACCTCAACTCCAAGCATAACAGCCTTTTTCTAGGATCTCAGCAGGGTGTCTCCTTACAGCAGAGAACCAATCGCCTCGTTTGGGGAGGGGTGTTGGGGCAGAGACCCAAGCTAGAACAAAAATCCCTCATAGCTTATATTTTGATTCATAACTTATTCTCGGGGCATTTAGCAGCCTGGCCACTAGTATATTAATACTCAGCCGCATCTGCGGAATGGCTAGAGATGAAACATGTCATATCTACTTGAATGGTTCAAGAGATATAATTTTCTGCTCTCCTATGTATGCTAGCTAGGGGGTGTAAAATATCAGGAAACTTGTATCAAAGTGACCAATCTGAATATATGCCTGGTTTTTATGTAAGTCTATCATATTCCAAGATATGAAATCATAGGGGAAAATGGATGCTGAATGTGGTGTCTAGTTTATGACTCCTCTGGAATGTCTTTGAACTCAGAGAAGGACTTGGTTTATGGTCTTAGATATCCCAGATTGCAAACTAATAGGTACCTAGGCACCAGTTCAGCTGGGGGGTTTTATAGTCCTGATGCTCTCCTGCTGTGTCTGGATTGCCTGTGACCTCTGTCATCACCCAGACCACATGTTACTCAACAGAGAGGTAGGGGGGATGATTGGAGGAGAAAGCCTGCTTTCGGAGGGAGAGAGATGAGACAACATGGAAGGGTTCTTAACAAAATGGAGGACCGCGTCCATCTCTGTGTGCACGATTGCTACAGCATGGCTTTGTCATTTATTCACAGTTCTGTGAATGAGTGCCCACAAGTCCCGACAGCATTAGCAGCTGTCGGCTTTTGAACTACCACGGTGCTGTGGAGCGCCATGGTAGATCATTGAAGCTTCCTGTCAGAATATTTGCTTGACTGTACATCCCGTACAGCAAGTACATATTCTGACAGGTCTGCAGGAGACCTGCATGGCATCAGCGATCTACTGAATGCTGGTGCAATGCTTTAGAGGCTCCTTTGGACAAAAATAATAAATGCACATTTTTTTACCTGCAAAAAATGTGCATTTATTATTTTTGTCCAAAAGATGAACTTATCCTTTAAAGATGTATTTAAGCAATATATAACTAAAATAGATCTGTGTTTTTTTTTTTGTTGTTTTATCTGGCTATAGTTCCACTCTTTGTCACATGGGGAAAACTCAGTCTGATGGGTTATTCTTTAACTCTCAAATTTTCTCCAGAGCTGAGAATATCATTCTGCGAACGCCAATGTCCTGGTTATCGAGCTAACCCTCTTGGTTCAATAATTTGATCCACTTACCCAAAACAAGTAGGCAAATAAGCACTTTGCCATTTCTAAGTTGCTTTATTGGTTTGCATCAATAACGAAGCCAGAGAATAAAAGCATAAAAGCCTGACAATCAGCATTGATATAAAGTGAAAGTTCATTTTAGATAACGTACTGTGTATTCACTAATTAGCTGCATATACGGAACTGCTGTACAAAGGTACAGTTATCCTGTTATCTGCTTTAAATATGCTGTGACACTCAAAGCTAGTAGGAGGGGCTTCCGATCATGTGGCACTATGATTGGCTGCCAAACATTAGTAGGTGACCGTGAGCTGTCAGTGACAGTTCGGTCACAGCTCTGGGGGTGCCAGTGGAGCACTCCCCAGAACATGACAGGGACACATATATTCGGTGGCTGGGCATTAACATCCACCCGCCCTGCCACTGCATATACGCTTATTGTGATCGTAAGGGGGTTAAAGTGATTCAGAAGATAAAACAAAATGTATTTGTTAATAAACATGTCATACTTACCTGCTCTGTGCAATGGTATTGCAGAGAGCAGCCTCAAACTTCCTCTTCTGGGGTCCCGCCATTGCTCATCCCCCCCTTCCAAGAGCCCCTATAGCAAGCCGCTTGCTAACGGGGCACTCATGCGGACTCGCTCTTGAACTGCGCTGTGTGTGTCCATTCCTCGGCCTGCCCCCTGCTCAGGCTCTATGACTGACAGCAGCAAGAACCAATGGCTCAAACTGCTGCCTATTTGTCCCATAAGGTGGGAGAGAACGAAGAAAGCTGCTGCTCTCAGGCACAGAGCTGGATCAAGATCGGGCTCAGGTAAGGGGGGATGGGAGCTACACACACATAGAATGCATTAAAGTAAAAAACCTTATACCTTTAGAACTACTTTAAGCTATTATAGAGTGAAAGAACCTCAATTAAACCATATTAATTTTATAAGTCTATCTGACCCATCGATTAACTATATTTATTTGTGTATTAAAAGCAATAAAATACAAGCTTAACCAATGTACAGCAAAATGAGACAGTACTCACAAGTCATTTTTACTCCCATGTAGCAGAGGAAACAATAAAACACAAGCTTACCTTATTGGTTATTGAAATGATTTCTCCTTCTTTCACAGTCAGCTCATTATTTCCAGGTTCCGCCACAAAATCATACAAAACTTTGGCCTGCAAGGTTAACAAAACCATATATATAAATCTTTCTGCAGAAATGATGATGATATTGATTTTTTTTTCATTCATTTACTTAACTAAAAATAACTCCTGACTCATATTTCCATAGTAATGCTTTACTGGCGAGATTTTTAACACACTCGGAAGATTGGTTAGGAAAATCACTACTCATCACTAACGTCACACACTTGGTAGAGATTGAAAACGAAAAAAAGCATTTGCAAAAGTTTCAATGTTCAATGCCACATAAGACATACTTATAAAGCGGAGAATGTTACATTCAGTGCAGGTTTACCATTCTGGTGCATGTTTCAAATTGATTAACTTACCTGTAGTGAATGTCACATTCACTGTTGTAAAAATATGCCCCCCCCCCCGATGATGTTACAAAATCTTTAAAGCGACATCCCATATTTTTCTTTGTTTGAGAATCTGAGAATTGCACCACTTGTAGGAACCCAGCCCTTTTCTATTGTGTCACTTGTTGAATTTGTTGTGTTGCTGTAACCAGCCTGAACATTGGTTTACCTTCTTCTAGGCCTTGCAGCTTTTTCCTTGAGCTCAGTGAGTGGATTGCTTCTGCCTGGGACTGTGAAAGGGGTTCCAGTAATCGTAATGGGAAGAATAATGATAGGGTTATAAATATGTATCTGACCCAACCAATCCCAGAGATGACTGTTCAGGTTTGGGAGAAGACAAATATTTAAGCCTGGTTCACATTAATGCAATGTGATTTTGATACGATTTCAGGGGCAATTATGTAGTCTAAATTGTTTGCAATTTGGACATGATTTTACTGCTGTGCATTTAAGCGATTTTATGCCTTAGGTGCTGCTGCTGTAAACTACTAACTCCAAGGATTTGCCGGGAAGGTGAATTGAAAATGTACATGTGATTTCTGTGCGTTTCCATTGAAGTCTATGGGGGCAAAATTGTGCTGGAATTAGTGCAGGAACCTTTTCCAAAATCGCTCCATGCTTAGTCGCATTGATGTGAATGAACACTATTTATTGGCAGCACAGTGGCTAAATGGCTAGCCTGGCAGTACTAAGGTAGTTGGTTCAAATCCCAAACACGGCACCACCTGCCTGGAGATTGCATGTCCTCCCTGTGCCTCATTTTATTAGGGATCTGGTGGATCTGTCCCCTACGGCACCTTTTTATGCCGCCCTGTAGACCGACAACTTCTGTTGTTCGTTTTCTGCAGAATATATTACTACATATTTCATAATTAGGTGGCTTTCCTCCTTTTTGACTTGCATTGATACCAATTTTCTTTGCAGTACCACAATCTATATATTCATACCCTATCAACATGTGATTGGGATATTTTTACATTCTTACTTTCATATGGTATTGCTAAAGTACAGTTTTTCATACTACCATTGAGTATTACTGCTACTGCTTGCATAACATTTGGATTTTTCACAGCCTTACGTGTCATTTTGGTCTCTGTTTCATGGGATCTGACATACTTTCACTTCTTGGAGGAATTAATATCCCAAATTTACCATCTATCACCGAGTGAAATTCCATTTGTTTATTTCAGGTACTTCTATAGCGCCGTCAATTCACACACTGCTTTACATATATATATATTGTACATTCACATCAGTCCATAACCCTCAAGGGGCGTACACGCTAAAGTACCTAACGCACATTCATACATACACATATTAGGGTAAATTTAGAAAGGAGCCAATTAAACTACCAGCATGTCTTTGGAGTGTCAGAGGAAACCGGAGTACCCAGAGGAAACCCACGCACGCACAGGGAGAACATGCAAACTCCAGGCAGGTTGGGATTCGAACCAACAACACTAGTGCTGCCAGGCAGAAGTGCTAACCATTTAGCCACTGTGCTGCCCTCCTATTGGCTTACTCAAGACACGATCAGTCTCATCTGTTGATATATTCCTTATGGACTATTTTTTGAATGTATATTTCTCTATTGGGTCTATTTCACAGGTCTGATGACTTGCAATTAAATATATTTTGTCTCTTATACTACCTGTAGTCCCACTGGGGGGGTGTTTTGGTGCCCCCTCTGTAGCCCTTGTTTCTGGTGATCTACAGATGTACAGTAGATCACCAGACAAGGGCTACAGAGGGGCACCAAAACACCCCCCCAGTGGGACTACAGGTAGTATAAGAGACAACTTTTGCTCTCTTGGATGGTGGAACCTGGTTTTCAGCCTCCCATCTTGGAAGTCTTCCCTTTTTTGTTCTGACATGTTTTTGTGAGTATCATTTTTGGTTATGTGATAAAATCTTTTTGATTATTTATTAGAATATTAATTTATGACTGTTTATATATTTACTAGAAAGCCTCCTGTTTCTTATGCCCCCTGAGGAAGATCTAAAATGTGGAATGATTGAAATGCATCAGAGTATTTTCTCTCTTTCTTTTCTGTGTGGTCTCATATTTTGTATCAAGAGTTCTTTTGGAAGAACACTGTCAGAGCAATATCCTTTTTTTATAAATCATGTATTTACTATTATAACAAAAATATATATGTAATAAAGCTGACATGACAAAAAACCTTTTTTACTATAATGTCTCTATCATATATGTATGAGCTCATTGCTGCAATAAAGTCCCACTGGGGGTTCTTTGGGTACATGTGCCTGGGTTTCCCCTGGGTACTCCAGTTTCCTCCCACATTCCAAAGACATGCTGGTATGTTAATTGGATCCTGTCTAAATTGGCCCTAGTATGTGTATGTATGAATGTAAGTTAGGGACCTTAGATTGTACACCCCTTGAGGGTTAGGGACTAATGTGAATGTACAATATATGTGTAAAGCGCTGTGTAAAATTGATGGCGCTATATAATTACCTGTAATAATAAATAAGAACAATGTGATTTTTATTGTCAAGCAATTCAAATTGCACTAGTGCGAACGAGGCCTTAGGGTACCTCTTCAAAGTGTTTGCTCTACCTCCTGGGCATTTGCCTGGAATGGATGTATTTTTAGAGTGTCTCTGTTCTTGGGCCTTGCCTCAGTCTGGGGCATACGACAAGGGCCCAAGGACTGCTGGAGAAGACATCTGGAGGTAACTAGGATAGCAAAGAATGTTGCTACCGAAAAGTGTCAAAGAGGAGCTAAACAGAAACGACTACAATACACTTTAAAAAAGATGAATTGCCCCTAAAACATGATAGCTTCGATAGCTCCACAAAAGGTCAAGAGTTAGATTTTTTATGGAGACATTGTTACTTAAAGCAGAACTTTACTCTCTCAATCAACAATGACTATTGTTATACCTTATGCTGCTAGCATTAGTAAACAGATAAGAAAGAATGTCATATTTACTTGTTTTAAACTTTTTTTTCACATTTCTTCAGTTATTTCCTGGTTTCCAGGCCTAAGTAACTGATGTCATACAGGAGGAGAGGAGGTGTTTTCTCAGCTAAGAACACCTTTCTGCCTGCATGTCCGAGCTAAGGGTAGATGAATTCCAGGATTCCAAATGCTACATTAACCGTTTCAATACCGTGCAATTTTACACCTTCCTGCCCAGGCCATTTTTCAGGTTTCAGCGCTCTCAACACTTTGAATGACAATATGCGCAAGGCAGTCATACAACATTGTACCCAAACTAAAATTTTATCATTTTTTTTCTTCACACACAACTAGAGCTTTCTTTTGGTGGTATTTAATCACCGCTGGGGTTTTTATTTTTTGCTAAAATTAACAAAAATTTTGAAAAAAAAAAACACATTTTTCTTTGTTTCTGTTATAAAAGTTTACAAATAAATAATTGTTCTTCATAAATTTAGGCCGAGATGTATTCTGCTACATGTCTTTGGTGAAAATAACCCAAATTAGGATGTATTATTTTAGTTTGTAGGAAAGTTATAGAGTTCACAAACTATGGGATAGATCTGAATATTGATCAATCCTGAAGTACTGACAGCCAATCTAATTTCTTGAGGTCCAAGAATGTCAGAATAGTACAGATATCCCCAAATGACCCCTTTTTGCTGAGTAGACAGTCGGACGTACTTCATAAGAGGCATGGCGAGTTTTTTTGAAGTTGTATTTTTTTGTCATAATTTTTCCAAAAATGAAAAAATGAAAAATATTATTTTGACATACTGTCACCAGTGCAGTACAGCGTCATCATATAAACTGGCATGAACAGGGACACTGACTGGTGACAGTATGAAAAAAAAAAAAAAATTATATTTTTTTTTAATTTTTTTTTATTTTTTTATTATATTTAATTTTTTATTACATTTTTTTTTTTATTTTTTTTAAGATTTTTTTTCATATTTTACTATGACCAAAATAGTACAATGTTACCATAGTAACATTGTACTACTTTGGGGAAGTGATCAGTATTTTTTTTTTTTTTTTTTTTTACACAATTTGCTTATAGCAAAGAATTACTTTGCTATAAGCAAGCATTTAGCTGAATGAAATCGATTCATTCAGCTTTTTTTTTTTTTTTTTTTTTTGTGCTTAGCTGTGATTTGGTCACAGCTAATCACATGACATGTGCATGTGATTAGCTGTGACCATTCACAGCTAGGCACTAGTATACAATGGATGGCATCATGAATGAAGCCATCCATTGTATACAACTGTCATGTGACCTGCTGTGATTGGTCGCGGCAGGTCACATGGTACCGGCAACGGGAGCCGGTACTCGGATCTGTCATCGGGCCGTGTCCGAGGTGCACGGGCGGTGACAGATCCCCGCTGCTGCGCCGCTCTGCAATAGCGCAAACGGCGCATGTGCGGGAGCACGCCAAATGGCGTGGACCCGGAAAGCTGCAGCGCTTTTCAAGCCGCCAAACGGCTATTGGCCGGGCGGCTAATGGTTAATCATCTGCTCATATTCAAGAGGTTCAAGATTTTTTTTAAAGTGGTTTCTCAGCAAAATAAAGCATGGAGACATGGATGGATGGGGGGAAGGAAGGTTACTTTGAATATTAAAAATTAATTAAACGGCATTTTTGTTTTTTGGTGCTCAGTTGCAGTGTAATTC